ATCACTGACTGCCGAAATGACACCTGACCTAATTATCAGTTGGGAACTGCTTTACCTTATCAGTCGTTTATGTTATTATGTACTCTATCCTTGTATCGGTCTGTTGGGCATATTGGGGAATGTCATCAACATTGTCATTCTGACTCGAAAGGGATTCCGGAAATGTTCCAATATACTTCTCTTATCTTTGGCTGTTTCCGATTGTGTGCTCTTGATTGGTTTCAACAATGTTCCAGCTCAAATATACACAGAGTATCATGGATTCAGGTCATCTGGAACACTTAATTCCCTGTATTTTGTATGGTTCATATTTTGTGTCTGTGCTGCAGACTTAGGATCATCCTCATCTGTGATCATTCCTGTTCTAATAACAGGTGAACGTATATTAGCCATATTTTTTCCGTTCCAAGCGTATTCGATCTTAACTCCCCGGAGAACGGTCATTGTCCTGTCTTGTCTCTATGTTTCAGGTGTAATGGATAATCTATTTAGTGTAATACTAGGTCTCGAACTAAAGACTGTTATCATAGATGGAGTCGTTGTGGGCATTGTTTTCGACAGTCATATGCATGAAATCTACGAGAGAAGCGGACTGAAGCAGGTGTTTGAACAGATAAGGAATTACCTGACAGGTGTCATGCCAATCGGTCTGGTCACCGCGGGCTGTGTTGTTATAGGACTCAGGATTGTACAAATCACCAAAAGACGCCAGCAGCTGACCTCCAGTCAAGTCACAGTCAGCACCAATCATGGCATCACAAAAACAACAAAAACTTTACTGAAGATCTGTCTGCTGTATATTTTATGTTATGGTTCTACATTTATTGCTTTTTTCCTTGCACAGAGTAGTGCACTAAACCAACAAGTGCCTGTACAGTTGATAATTCAGCGCTTTCACAGTATGGTACTTTGCCTAAACTGCGTTGGAAATGTTCTCATTTATTTGGATGCTCACCACGGATTCAGGAAGTTAATCATCGTCAGTTAGAGAATAGAAACTTCAAGTCAGAACTGACAGACAATGACTGGGGTGTCGTGTCGTGAAATGGATGGTGATTTATTTCACAGGTGTATATATATCACCTCCCCTGTGGTCAGATAATTAGGCATGTATGGCTGAAATACGTGTAATTAAATACGAAACCTGAAATACATATAGTGACCACGAATTTCTGAAGTACATATTATTACAATACGAATTGCTGAAATACACACTGTAACTATCGAATTACTGACATACCAGAACGCCTTGGTCTTGATTCTTAAATCAGTAATCATAGTTCGTTCATTGTCCAATGTTCATTTAAAGATCATCTTCATCGCACATTGGACATGACCATAAGTGCTCCGATCTCTTCCTGAGTATGTCTCCAACTTTATTTTTTTAGTCTAACAACCCCCATTAGGTAATCAGTAATATATGAATTAACGATGTAAATGTTGTTGACACCAGAGTTGAGTTGATTCAAGAACCGATATCACAGCACTCGCGGCATTCCTATAAGCGCACCGTCTCCATCCTCAGCAGTCAGTGAAGAGTTCCAAAACTAATGGTGCCAGTAGCATTCTGATTAAACGTCCTTCTTGCCTTTCCTCTGAGCCTCGAGCATCTGCCAGAACCTCTCTTCACTCCCCGCTGCATCAGTCTAACCAGACTGGTGATCCATCTGCTCCTCCGAATTGTACACGCTCTCCCAAACGACCCTAACCACGACTGCCTTATCATGCATCAGTATTCTACCGTTGTGCAGAGCCAGCCAGCCCGTCCGCCTGTTCATTTCCTAACACACCGGCGGCTCCCAGTGAAAAAATCCAGACAATACTCCTCACCCGTGTCCCCCGCAGAGAAGTATGCCACTCTGTATGAAGCATGTTCTGTTCTGATCTGCCCTAGCATGCTCTCTGAGTACGGCACAATCACGATGTGTGTGCGTGCGTCGCGTTCTCCAACCAGCGGAAAGCTGCAGTGACCGCCTCCACTTCTATTCTCAAGCTGGATTCTGCGGTATCATACGCTTGGCTCTCCCGCACCAAACGTCGACCACAAACCTTTGCTAAGAAACCCCAAGCCTTTCCCCTGCCCGTCTAGGTAAACAGTGAAATCCTCCGAGCGAGAATTATCTTGAATTTATTGCTGAATCTCCCCCTCTCTGGTATCCGCTGGCCAGTCCCTGCATTCCCGGCTCAATGTGACCATGACCCCACACAAGTCCGGCTGTTCAGGTGGCACCCTGACCTGGGCTGTGTGTTCCCTCTCTTCCCCTTGCCTATATGCATATATATCATCTGCAAAAAGTCAGTATCCTTCCAACTCCTGGTGCTTCTAGGCTTGCAATCTTGCTCGTATACACGTTAAAGAACACAGGCAAGATGGCTGATCCCTGTGGCAGTCCTGGGGCCAAACTACATGGTTCTGAGGTCCATGAGCCCAGTCGGAGAGCAACCTGTAATGTTGATATTTTAACACGGGGATTCCCTGGGGAAGAATGTGAGGAGGGAACCTCGAGATACGACAGAAAAAACGGGATAACCCAAACACTTGTAGAAACACGAGGTACTCAAGCAGGGTAGACGAGCTCGTGAAGATTAAAGGATTAGAAAAGGTCTAATCAGACAGTGTTTGCCAGTCGGAGAGAAAGGGTGTATCTGAAATTCAGTGTGAATGTAACAGTGTATTTGGCGACGTGAGCATTTCTGTTCTGAGAAAAGGTAAGCTGACAGCCTGTCGACGATCTGATCCGAAGGGGCATCCAACCAGTTTCAATTGCTCAAGAAGTCAAACCAACATGCTTAGAACGGCCGGAACAAACATGGCGTGTACTCTGAATGTGAGGAAAGAGGACTGAGAGGTATTGCGTGCGAACGAGAGAATACTCCAAGTTGATGTCCAAATATTTGTGCATGATCAGAACTGTCTGCCTTGTTTGCAGGAGGGGGGGAGGGAGAAGCTACAGGCAGAGCCCTGGAAAGTAAAAGTGGGCGGCATGACTTTGACCACATCCCTCACAGAGTGTCAACAGGTCTGCACACAATATAGGTACAGCACTATACACACAATGGGGCAATGATAAATGACCTCTCCCCGGGTGATCCTCATCTGCATTGTGGCACCTTGTGTCACCAGGTGTTTATCGCTTGGTAGATGTCCTGGTTGAGTTGAATCTCCTTCATTCTTAAAAAGGACGGCATACATCCTCTGATTTCAGGGTTGTGGATCAGATGCCTAACCTTATCAGATAAGGGTGAAACATTAGGAATATCAGCAGAAAAATACACTCAGCAGATGAATCATTATGGTGTCAGTCAGTACTGTGGGAGGTTCAAAATGGACAAATGAGGCACGGTGCGTCAACATTACAGGAATTCACATGTTTCACTGTCTGGGTATCAAGGAGTCTCAGGGAATTAAAGAGGTGAGTTTTGTAGCAAGAGAAGTGATAGCTACAGAAGCACTTTTACTGGACAGAGGAGATATTTTGAACACCATTTATGAATGAATGAAGATAGAAAACATGAGGTAAAATTTAAAAAAACATTTCAAGAATGTGTGAACCAGGAATTAGGTCTGGATTCAGCAAGGAGTGACGGATGAGAGGAAGAGAACGACGTGTGTATAATCAGTGTGCTACGGGAACAGTTAGCATCTATACCTTAAAACATTTGCTGCGGGAGACGGAGCATCCACGGGTGTGCCTGGTGGGCTATGATGTTGATTCTTAAATCAGTAATGAATATCAGTTTGTGACTGCAGATATTTCTGAGATCTCTGCGGACAGTTACCAGAGCTGCAGAGCTTTGTGTGACACTCTCAGTGGATAAACAGACTGTTTGTAGACAGAGAATGAGCCATGTGAAATCAAACCTAGTGCAATATACTCCTAGTCTATAATGAAAGCAACATTTAAGGGGGGGAAAAAAAGCCACAACAAGAAAGATAAAAACATAAACACATAATAAAAAAGCAATAACTTTATTATGCGATACCCCAAAAATGTACCCACGTCTGATAACATGAGCTGTACCCACGTCTGATAACACGAGCTGTACCCACGTCTGATAACATGAGCATCATAATCACATCAACAATAGTTGCAGGTAAGTAAAAAGTAAGTAAAGGACCCTTTTTCCACGCCTTTAGGCGTTTAGGCCATATAGGGCTAGACCTATATTTGTATAGACCAATCGGCACAGGATGGGTGATGTGGTCAGCATCACGCCACCCGCCTTTACTTCCCGGGACTGCACCCGGCTGGGTCGACCTGGGAATAGTTGCAGGTATTTAGTAACTAATAAATGTTCAAATAAGTTTATGACTTTCATCCGTATCAACGAGGACTGCTTTATTTGTTTCTCTATCCTCCAACGATATTCTCTGAAATCTTCACAGAAAAACCACACATCAGCCGCCAGTAAATATTATTTCACTTTTCCGCTCACTGTCCATGTCTCACATGCATATAACAATATAGGTTCTACATAACACTTCAACTCTTTGTCTCACTGGATATGATATCTTCCTATTGGTGAGAATCTACTCATGAAGCAATGGATCGCAAACTGTTCCTTCCCATGACCCTTGACAGCAACAGTGCAAATTGACAATGGTGTTCTTAAGATGACATAATATGATAGGTCTCTGATTTACAAGAAACTGAAGAAAAGCCTCCTGTGTGGCTTCCAGGGCCCCATTGGGGGTGGGGGTGTGGGGGGGGGGGGTTAAAATAAGACCCACTGCTTCCCCCAAAAGTATGTTTTACAAGGCGACTAATTAGGAAGTTTTCTGAAATCAGATGTTTTAGGCTAAAATTCACAGACGGTACACCCTAGCTGTAAACCATAATACAACATACCAACCACCCATTTAAGGGTGTATCCCAAAAAAAAAAAAATTCACCCCCAATTTTCATGACAAGATCACAGAAGTTTCTGATTTACAAGATAATGAAGAAAATTTTTTTACAAGAATCAAGAATATAGACACAAAGCTACCACTTTCAGCATCAACTTTCCTGGAAGAGACCACAGGGTTCAGTGACATCAATGATCTGTGAGCCACTGGCGGGCACGGGTTGGTCGGCTGCTCTGAGGATGTGCTTCATCTGCACGGAAGGGTCGGCTGCTGCGAGGATGTGCTTGGAGTTGAATATCTTGTCTATGAGAGCATTTGCTTGATCCTTCTTGGCCAGATCTGGGATGGGTGTCCAGGACTGGTCGTACTCCAAGCGATAGCCTCCGAGAAACTCATGGGGGCAGGACACGCCCCACTCCTGTTTGGAGGCGGGGGAAAAACAACAAATATGATTAGCTGACTGAAACCTAATGGTTACCTGGGTGACATCATGTGGGGGATGGATAAATTCAACCACTGTCAGTCACCTTACACGCAGGTTGCAAGCATTGACTGAATAGAGGCCTCCTTTGAATTTGGAGTGCATCTGCCAGACAGGCATGGAACCAACAGTCTTCAAACAAATAAGCCAAACTTGTAAAATGGATGCCCACAACACTGAGGTTCTGGAACCAGACTAAAGTCCAGATGTTGACAGAGAACCAGAACTTTCCTTCAGGGTTTACAGCTGGTCAATGTGAAGAAGAAGTCTGATATGCAGATATTTAGGTAGTTGAGCTTTGAAATAGGATTACATCTACTGCAATGGTCAGTTTCTGTGGCTCGAACACATCCTATAATTCTGAGGTGCCTGGTTCGATTCCAGCTGTGAGGGATCTGGTAGCAGGTTGGTTTCAACACTACTATCAAGTGCTTACCATTCAGCAAAAGAACCTTTAGCACTCCAGTAAGAGCTTGGTTTTTTTCACGTGGACTTGGATTTCTAGTAATCTGGTAATCTTAGTTCCATCTTCATAGCAAACGGGTCACCTCATAGTTGCTCCGCTTCTGTGGCAACGAAAAAGACAAAGAATGTTTATCACAGTCCCTAGATTTCTAGTAATTGCCCCTGCTATTTGGGTAGTGAGATCTGACGCCAGTGTGCATTGTTGCGCACATGAAAAATCCCTTGGCAGTTAGAAATAAAAAAGAATAGCCTAATGGCACTGCCCGGGAAAAATTTGAAGTGAAAAATTTACCCAAAGTATTATAGGATCCTCTAGGTGCTACAGAGCCTGTGCACTGTGCTGAGCTTGTTCGGACTCAGGCTTGAGTTAGAAGAAGAACGGAGCACTTTTGGGTTACTTCCTGGGGGTTACTTCCTGGGTGCCATGATGTTGATCTGTTGTTCAAACTTCAAACAGCAAAAAAAAAAAAAATACTGGACGTTTACACTTTCTAGTGAGATCACAACCAGCAAGGAAACTACTGTTATATGGTCGCTCAGTCATAACTGACACTGAAAAAACAATTATTGTTGATTGTTCATTTAATGTTTAATGAAAAATCATCTTCACCGCCCAAGACAATAACTCTGATACAGCATGTAGCGATTTACAAAATGCCCATTATTTATGTCCCAGTGCATGCTGGTGTGTGAGGCAATGAAACAGTGGATGTCTTGGTTGGCAGTGCGTGGATCAACAATGGGCCATAAGTGGACAGGGAAGACATCATCCATGCCACAAGAGACAGTAAACACTGTAAGGCTTTCCATTTTGTGGAAAATGACTCTTCACTGAACAGACTACATACCCTGGGTGTACCAACTGGAGCAAAGGAACAAGAAAACCATGCAGGAGCCACCCGTCATTGTTTTATTTCAACCAGAACATAATTAACTACATGAAACTGTGTTGGACACTGAGGCAGAACGTCCAAAGTAACCCTAAATAAAACAAAAAAAGCAGTTTTTCCATCTTGTGATGTCTTTAATGAGATGTGCAGACAGAACGAGAAATGAGGAGAGACTGAGAACTTACATGAGGTGAGAGAAGGCTTAGATAGTTCTGGCCAGACTCCCGTTGGTACAAGTAGTAAATTGTTCCAGCTTTTTTCACAAGATTACATGCAGCGTGGTGCATGGCTGCATCTCGTCGGGCATCTTCCAGAATCTTGAGTTATAGAAATAACATTTTAAAACATTCATTAAAAAAAAAATACTTATCCTAATAATGTGAATTTATTAGTAAATGATTGTTGAGAATCAACATGTTTCTTTTGTTTGTAAATTAATCAAGTAACAAAAAATGTATTGATCGGCGCTCATAGAAAGAAGTAGAAAGATAGAAGAACACACTAGACAACAAAAAAAATCGAAATATATAGTAGCCGTGTCAGGACTTGAACCTGTCACCTCCAATGGCGTGTGCACCTCGCCATGAATACAAGTACACTAAGAACATGGTCAACTAGGCATCCCCCAAAAAAGGTGTCTTACTGGCCACGTCTATCGTACAGCTTGAAATCCACAACTATGAAATACGGACAGAATTCATTTCAAACCATTGAAATAGTCATTTATTTATATTGTTTGTAAAGAGCTGTATGTGAGACTTTAAACATGTTTACTTTTTTGCTGTCCAGAGAATTTTCATTATCTGTTGAATGACATCTCTAACAGCTGATTTTTATGCATGGTTTGTTTACTATGATCCAAAGTCATTTGCTAATGCTGGCTCTATGTAACAAGCAATAGTTATTTAAAACAAAAACAAATTGTAGATTACTAAGGAAAAGAAACTGTAAAAGACAAAAGGAGAGAAGAAGAAAAAATAAAGCTGACAGGCAAGAAAAAGAAGAAGAATAGAGAAAGAGAACAAAAGAAAGAAAAAGAGAGAAAGAAAAAAGAAGCAATAACGGAAAAGTTAGCTGATGTACAAACTACAAAGTTCTACATGTTTGTGTCTAATGTCAACAAAACACCTTCTAACAACAACTACTCACCTTCCAACAACAAATACTCACCTTCCAACAACAACTACTCACCTTTCGTGCCTGGTTCTGGAGAAACTGCATCTGTTCAGCTATCACAGTCAGCTTGCTGCCTACATTCGCTTTAGTAAACTCATCAGCCTGGACATGTGGAAAGATAAACTTTAGTAAACTCATCACTCTAGACATGAGTGGAGGATAAACTTTAGTAAACTCAGCACCATAGGCATGAATGAAAGATAAACTTTAGTAAACTCATCAGCCTGAACATAAGTGGAAAGATAAACTTTAGTAAACTCATCAGGCTGAACATAAGTGGTAAGATAAACTTTAGTAAACTCATCAGGCTGAACATAAGTGGAAAGATAAACTTTAGTAAACTCATCAGCCTGAACATAAGTGGAAAGATAAACTTTAGTAAACTCATCACCCTAGTCATGACTGGAGGATAAACTTTAGTAAACCCATAAAATTGTGTACGAGTTGGAGATAAACTTCATAAAACTCATCATATTGTGTAAAAGTGGACGATAAACTTGAAAAATCTTATCAGCCAGGACATGAATGTTTATGTGTGGGCTGACAAAAACTGTATTTAATAATATCAATACGTATTATTATTAAATACAGTTTTTCGCCAGCCCACACATAAACAGGCTTACGCCATATTGAAAACCAAGACTCAACTCATAAATGATAAAGGCATTCCACATTAAAAACATAGCTCACAGTGCTGCACCAAGCACTTAACGCATCAGCATAGGCAGCAAAACAATCTGTGTAAACAGAAACAAGGATAACTTGGAAGCTAAACATTCTGCATGCCTAGTTCTCTATATTGGGCCGGAAGTGGGTTGTGAGTTGGTCAAACAAACGTTAGTCTCCCCACAGAAAGTAGGTCACGTTCCACTGATAACTTTCTTGGACTGGTCTAACCTGCTGGGGGTTAAGGGTGTGCCGCTCTGTTGTTGGCTATCTGTGTTGACTTGCAACTTTGTTTTCATTCAGAGAAAGAGAATGCCTGTGACATAGGTTTCATCACTCTCTAAAGGGGTTGTGTGTTAGATCCAGTTTGTCAATGTTTTTGGAGTGTTTAAGGCTCTGGAATGCTGAAATACATAACACGTGATGTCAACAGCATTGCGGAACACCCCCGTGAAAGTGTACCAGGGTCGCGTGGCTTAAGGTCGACCAATCAGAAGTTAGCTAGGCTGAAGATCAACCAATCAGAAGTGAGCTAGACTAATGTTACTATTACCTGTGAGTTTATCATTGTATCTGCATCTGCGCACAATTTCAGCACAATGGAAAGGAGCAAATATATAAGAAAAACAGCTTGGGAGCGAAGTGTCCCAACTGCTTTATTTATAGACATTTCTATATCAGACTGTTTCTACTGGCAACTGTGGTTACCGTGCGACCATGTGTTACAGAGTGGCAGGTCAAGTGTCAAGTCATAATTAGTTTACAGGAGATGTAAGCCAGATCAAAATTATAATTTTGAGAGCATGCATCTTCCCTGCGGCTACATACGGATGTGAGTCGTGGACTATCTCTCAGTCCTTAAGAAAGAGAATAGGGGCTTTTGAGCTGAAATGCTACAGAAATATCTTGGACAAAGAAGACAAGAAATATTGACATCTTGAAAGATCTGAACATCAAGGAAGATTGGCTAATAAATAGCATCCTTTCTCGAAAGCTAAAATATTTTGGTCATATCAAGCGCCACGACGGATTGGAAAACATTATAGCAGAAGGCATGGTGCCAGGAAGGTGGGGCAGGGGCCGACCGACACGAAGATGGGCAGAGAATATAAGTGACTCTTTGAGTGTGAAAGTGCATGAGGCGGGAAAACTGGCGAGAGACTAAGTGTCTTTCAGGCAGAATGTGATCCGAGCGATGTTCTGCAAAGGACCTTCCACAAGATGATGATGTAGGCCAGTTTATTCTATGCTGCAGTTATTTTTTACTGATTACTTCCCTTTACTTTGAATGATACACTCACCGATTTTTCTCACTTCGAGAATATCTGAAAATTGTGTTTTTTTTCTAGGTTCCAGGGCGAAAGGGTTAATAGACGATGATCTAAACATTGTGCCAGGAAAGATTAAAATATAAAATGAAATAATTAATGAAACTAAACATGTACACAAGTGACAATATTAGTTTAAAGAGAAAAATGCCACAACCTTCTGTATTGCTTGAGCCAGTTCAACAAGGTCTGTAGCCTCTGATATCTTGTTGGTTTTCCTGGAGTTGACTAACTGGACTCCAAGGGGACGGCTGTTTGCTTCTACAAGGGCAACTGGTTAGGACAGAGGAAAACCCCAATTATTTGAATAACGAGAAATCACCATATAAGATGTAATGATGCTATAAATGTGGTATCTCCATATCAGTTGAACCGATTTCAGCTGAGTCTAGAAATGAAATCACAGCATTCAGGTCATTCTCATTAGTTTGCTCGTCCTCATCTTTAGCAGCCAGCAAAGCATTCCAATTCCGAAGATAAGGGTAATGTATAGATTGTTTACCTCTTCACTGAGTGCACAGCATCGCACAGATCCCCTGCTTACTCGTAGCTGTACCACACTCTCCAGCCACTCGTGATCTATTCATGCCTCTGCATTTTTTGTATCTGCTCCGAGAGGGCCTTGACCACATTTAACTTGTTATTAATTTACCACACAATAGTGCTGCACCAAACAGCCTGTCTGCATGTTCATTTCCTAACACTCCTGCATCACCTGGAGAAAATATCCAAAAGAAAAAGACAGCGACTATCTGAAATGTCTGAAGTGATGCTTGCCACTCTGCACAGAGCATGCCTGTCTCCACTTTCTCAACATGCTCTGTGAGTCAGTTACAATTACGGCATGCTAGTTCTCAAGCCAGTGGAAGGCAGCTGTGATTATTTCCAAAAACACATGTATTAATATCACATGTCAGATATGCCAGGCTTTGTTGCACTAAGCACCGTCCTGTAGTTTTTACAATAAACAGCCCCCCATTTCCCCCCCCCCTTTCTGTGCACTTTCTCTGCCTCTTAACACAGATCCATCTGTATAGATATTCGCATCACCTGGGTGGGAATTGTCATGAATTAGTTGCTGAACTGGTTTGGCAGCACCCTCTGGCTAGCACCTGCACTCTCGCACCCAATGTGATTAGAACCCGGCCAAAGTCTCACTGTTGCTCTGTCACTCTTCTCCACTCATTTTCCTTTCCCAGTTTTTTCAAGCATCAATGTTAACTAGACACATATCACAGAGTCTATAACTTACGCCACAAAGTTGGACACACACACAGAAAGTAAATTGATGTACTTATATTACTATGATTATCAGTATAACTACATCATGTAAGTTTAGGCATAAGATTCTATTGTAGACCATGCTCTCTCAGAACGACAGTCAAACACATTTGTATGATTCTTAGACAACAGAAAAAGTTCTAGCAAGAATGTTGAATTAAGAATCGACATCACAGCACTTTGGACACCCCCATAAGCGCTCCGTCCCCATCTAATGAGTAGCACGATGATCTATGGCCGAGGCCACCACAAAAGCAAGAAACAGAACCTTATCTCATCAACCGACAGCCGAAAAAATAATAATAAGGGAAGGTAAATAAGACTCAGGATGGCATTAAGAACAGCCTTACAGAAATGAGCATCAGTCTTAATAGTGCTCTTGACAGAGCCCATCAACGAACATTACATCTCCCCCCGACACTTCGACGAGGTACATTTACCGTACAAGGTGGAAGAGAAGAAGAACTTCAAGAAGAAATAATATTAATAACTTAATTATAATAAGACTCAGAAGAAGCAGGGGAAGATAGAAAAAAAGATGTATAAAACGTTATTTTAACAAAACGAACCTTCTGTGTGTAGGGGTGGTGCTGCCATGTCAGGTGCTTAATTAACTATAAAATACAGGCCGTGGCGATGTATGTACTGTAAGGGTGAGAAAATTAGATATTCTTGAAGAATTTCTTCTAGTTACATAACAATAACACGACAGCCGCCATAACCGGAAGTCACCCTTAACCCTTAGGAAACGGTGACTATTTCATTACGCACCATGCCGGGCTGCGCTGAAAAGTTTCAATTAGTGGATGTCGTTCCTATAAGGTTTAATAGATAGGCTTCACCATTTCTGTTTATGTTTCATATTTTTCCTGTGCCCAATATTAATTATCCATTTCTTGACGCTATCTACCCAGTTGTATCGATGTCTTGCTCACCTGCCTTGAACAGTGCCCTCCATCATAGTTTTGAATTAGATTCAGCCCCTCTCCCCAACAAACCTACAGTGAACGGAATGATACCAGTATTATAGAACAACTAACAAGTGTCTCTTCTCAGACAAACCGCTACCAAGAAAACATGAAGAATGTATAGGATGCCCACCTATGTCTTTGCATTTCATATTTTGCTTTCAAAATATATTTTTGGGTGTGCGGAGAGGGGGAGGGGGGCGCTGTTTCCTTCCTAAATTTAAAGAAAATGGGTTAGGGGGAGGGTGTCACGCTAAATCACGACCTCCTCAGCATGTAGGAAAAAAGTAGTGAAAGAGTGCCTCAGACACTTTCCCCCACCCCCATGCAAATTTAAACAGAGCCATACGCTTTTCAGCAGGCTTTTTCTGACCATCTGACACATTTCCTAGACAATACATAACGTGGGAACAACAAGAGATGTGGTGGGGGAGGGCTGGGTCAGGTACTTAACTGCTAATTTCGTCCACATGCTGTGAACCTTCATGCAAATGACCTGTTTTCAAATATCGACTATTCCTCCATAAGTATTAAGTCCTATTCGGGGGGGGGGGGGGGGGGAATATGGACTAGGATTTAGGTTAAAGAACCTTGTTGAATCCTAAATCTTTTGAGAGCGAGTTACGAATTAACTCACAGGTAAGTGATTTTATGAGTGGCGAGACCTTTTTTCCCAGAGCCGAACTACCGCTTTCTTGCGCGGAAGGAATGCTTTCCGCTTCTAGCTAGGGAAAGTTGAATTTGTATCGTCATTTGAGACCCAGAGCCTGTAGTCGGCAGACGTTCTAATGCCTTTACTGTAAACTTACATCATATTTTATTTTTAAAAGTCACCTTTTCACCCGGGAATTTCAAGAGAGCATGGGTAATTTGTAATTTAATTAGCTTAGTGAAGTCATATTTCCCTGCTGCAGCGCCTAGACGGACGCTGTTATGGATCTCTAGCTGGACACCACGTTAAATTGACTCATAATGCAGCTGTAGCCCAACTGGAGAGTTTTACCTTCATTCCGAGGAATGATGTCCCGTTATATTTGTCCAGAGATCGACAAACGCACCTGGGAACTCGTATCCTTTTTGCAAAATGACTTTATTCGTGTATCATTGATGTGTGTAAAGAAATATGGCACGTTCAGGTCTGTCGTTGATATAGATAGCCGATTAATACTTTTTTGAGAGAACTCAATTGCACGTGATTTGGTTGGACTTAGCCAACGCCTACGGGGCAGTCCCCCATAGGCTACTGTGGCGAGCCCTTCGCATGTTCTACGTACCGGCACAGATCAATGATATGATCGAGCAATATTTCTCTAAGTTCGCTTTGCGCGTCTCTACCTCGACGTTTACCACGAGATGGACTGAGTTGCAGATTGGGATAGCTATGGGGTGTACGATCTCACCAGTACTGTTTGTCATGGCCATGCAGATCATGTTAGTCGGGGCGGCCGGCTACGGACAGGGCCTTAAAATAGGGGATCACTGGATGCCGCCACTACGCGCATTTATGGATGACACGACTATTATAACGGGCAGCGAGGAGTCTGCCCGCACGATCCTGAAAAGATTGGACGAGGTGGTCCAATGGAGCGGTATGCAGTTCAAACCGCAGAAGTCGAGGAGTCTGTCAATCCATAAGGGCAAGGTGTCGGCAACCAGTTTTACAGTGGCAAGGAACAAGATCCCCACGGTTCTGGAGGAACCGGTGAAGAGCCTTGGTCGCGTTTACGATTCGAAGTTATCTGATAGAGCGGAGGTCCGGCGAATACACGAGTCACTGGCTACAGGCCTGCTCGCGATCGAGCGATGCAGGCTGGTCGGGAAATTCAAGGTATGGTGTCTCCAATTCATGTTGATTCCGAAGCTGCTCTGGCCACTGTTAGTCTACGAGGTGACGATGACTGCAGTGGAAACCATGGAGAGGAAAATCAACACAGCCTTAAGAAAGTGGATTGGTGCACCGCCTTGTCTGACCGACGTGGCTCTGTATTGCAAGCAGGCTAAGCTGGTACACCCGTTCAAATCGATAACCGAAGAGTTTAAAGTTGGCAAAGTAAGACTCGCCATGCTATTGCGCGAGTCTTCAGACCCAAATGTCATCGCTGTCCAGCCCGCTCTAAAGACTGGCCAGAAGTGGAGAGTCCTCGATGCGATAGAATCTGCCTAGAATGCACTAAAATTGAAGGAGATAATGGGATACACTCAAACCGACCGTCGAGGCCTAGGGCACGGAAAGGTCAATTGGTGGTCAAAAGCCTCAGCTAAAGAGCGCCGAGACATGGTAATACAAATGGTGAGGGACAACGAAAACGAGGTTCGGGTTCAGAAAGCAGCCCAGCAGTCGCAGCAGGGCCATTGGGTCAGCCTGGAGAGCGCATTGCCAAGAATACTCACATGGGGTGAGATCTGGCGGATGACCCCGCTGCGACTGAGCTTTATCGTTCGTTCGGCGTACGATGTATTACCGTCCGGTGTTAACATGGTTAAATGGTCTGCGACTAACGATCCGACTTGCCCGTTGTGTAAAGCGAAGCACACGCTAGAACACGTCCTGTCCGCGTGCAGGAAAGCCCTAGGTCAAGGTCGATATACCTGGCGACACAACAAGGTGCTAAAAGAGTTAGCAGCCGTTGTTGACCAGGCTAGAATGATGGCTAACGCCAGAGCCAGTTCTACCATCGTCCCCATTCGTTTCCTCAAGGCTGGGCAGGTTCCAAAAGGTAAGGTCAACCGAAACGCATTCGCTCCATCTGTGCTAGACTCTGCGAGGGACTGGTTACTGGCGGTTGATCTGCCGGGCCATGAAAGGTACCCCGAGTTATTGCGGAAGACCGGCCTGCGACCTGACATAGTTCTCAATTCTGCGCAAAAACGGCAGCTCATCCTGATTGAGCTGACTGTCCCGTACGAGTCGCGTATGGAAGAGAATCACATGTATAAGCTCGAGAAATACAGTGATTTAGCAGCCGGTCTGAGGAGAAACGAGGCGTACACGGTACGGGTCTTTGCCGTCGAAGTGGGAGCGAGAGGCCTCGTTTCCACTTCACTGTACAATGTGGTTAAAGAACTAGGATTGCGCGGTAATGAACGGAAACGAACACTTAAAATACTGGGCGAGGCAGCCGAAAGGGCCTCGAGTTGGCTTTGGACGCAACGGAACAACGTAGGGGACGGGCCTCGGTGAGCTGGTCCGGGTGTCTAGCGGAAAAGAGTTTTTCATCCCTTGAAAGTCCATCGCGTCCGAATTGTCTGCCAGTGATCCTCTGCCACCTGCTAACAAAAGTCCAACATGTGTCCGGTAAACCAATCGTAAGCTTGTCGCTCGGTCGTCCAGGTACGCTGACTGTTCTAATTAGGCGGCCGCGACTACTTCTTATCTCACAGTACCTTCTGCAAATCACCAAGTCGTCTTGTTCCTATCCGAAAGAAAAACACCATCCGGTAATTTCGTGCAGCAGGGTACCAGCCCTGAGCTTCATGAACTCAGGTGGGCCCACCTCCGAAAGTGTCTAGGAATCGTGGGCCGAAACACTTGTCGACGAGGATAATTTCTACTGATGACTGGTAGATCCCTGCTGTACTTGCTCCCTGTGAGTTTATTCCTATTTCGCGCTTCAACAAGATTGTCAACAAACAGTGCTCCACAGAGAGCTATGCTAAACAGACCCAGAGGTCGACCACGCAAAATATGGATCGCCGAAATATCCGTGACACCAAAAAGTGGTATATACAGAAGGGCAAGTTCCAGAGATCTCTTACTGCCCTGACGAGGTGAGGTATTCAGGAGTAGAGGAAAGAAGAAGAGAAGGGAGAAGACGAAGATGATGAAATAATAAGCCACTGTGCTGTTGCCATGTATATAATTCTTGTGTCAACAATTCCTACTTCAGTTTTTCGTCTGTCAATAATTACAGTGACACAATGACATACTTTAATGACAGCAATTTGGATGTCTCCATATGTGTTTCAGCAATTTGTATGTCTCAATATGTATTTCATCAATTTGTATGTCTCAATATGTATTTCAGCAATTTGTATGTCTCAATATGTATTTCAGCAATTTGTATGTCTCAATATGTATTTCAGCAATTTGTATGTCTCAATATGTATTTCAGCAATTTGTATGTCTCAATATGTATTTCAGCAATTTGCATGTCTCAATATGTATTTCAGCAATTTGTATGCCACAAAATGTATTTCAGCAATTTGTATGCCACACAATGTATTTTAGCTTTTCATATTTAATAATATGTATTTCAGCTTTTCATATTTAATAATATGTATTTCAGCCATACAGGCATAATTTTCTGATCACATCGAAGGTAAAATATGCACTTGTTAAAAAAAAAAAAAAGAATACTCATCTCATGATATAACACCACAGTCATTTGTCTGTCAGTTCTATCTCGATGTTTTTATTTTCCTGCAGACGATTATTAACTTCCTGAATCCGTTTCGAGAATCCAAGTAAATCAGAAAATTTCCAACGCAGTTTAGACAAAGTACAATCTGCTGAAAGGGAAAAATTATCATCCGTGTAGGTAACTGTTGCTCCAGTAGTTTACTCTGACTAACATAAACACCAATAAAGGAAGAACCATAACATACAGTATACAGGAGACAAATCTTCAGTAATGTCTTTGTTGTTTTGGTGATGCCGAGTTTAGTGCTGGCCTTGGCCAGTTTAGAGGTAAGCTTTCGACGCCTGTTGGTGATTTGTACAATCCTGAGTCCAATAACAACACATCCCACGGTGACTAGACTGATTGGTATGACACCTGTTACGTAATTCGAAATATGGTCGATCAGCCGCTTCACTCCGCTTCTGTCGTGGATTATCCGCATATCACTGTCGACAATAACGCCGACAGTAACACCATTTACGAGAAAATTCTTTAGTTGGTCGCTTAGTATCACATTGTATGTAAACAATATCCCATCTACTAGGTAGAGACAAGACAAAACAATGACCATTCTTCGTGGAGTTAAGATCAAATTCGCTTGGAACGGAACAAATATGGCTAATATACGTTCACCTGTTATTAGAACAGGAATGATCACAGATGCGAATAATCCTATGTCGCTAACACATATGAAAAGTATGTACAATACGAAACATGCGAAATTAAGAGTTTCGGAGAATCTGAATCCCTTATATTCTGTGTATATATGACCTGGAACGTTGTTGATGCCAATCAAAAACAGACAATCGGAGACAGCCAAAGACCAGAGAAGTATATTGGAACATTTTCGGAATCCCTGTCGGGTCAGAATGACAATGTTGGTGACATTCCCCAATATCCCTATCAGGCCGAAGCAAGGATAGACTACATAAAAACACATACGACTGATGAGGTAAGTTAGTTCCCAGCTGAGAAATAGGGCAGGTGTCATTTCGGCTGTCCGTGACGGTAGCACTGTCATGTTTGCTGACATGTTTAGATGTGTCTGTTGATGTTTACACAGCTGAATATTGTCTTCGACACTTCCGTTGTTTATCACTGATAAGACATGATGACAACAATTGTTGCCGGAACTACAGACAACACATGGACCCCATGTTTATGTATTTTTCCGCAAATTATGCTTCACCTGGACCTCACCTGCTGGAAGAGGGTGGAGATGGGATGAACATAGTAGTGCCTGCTGATATAAAAATAAATCTTAAGTGGAAAGCAATAACTCATATTGCCTATGTAGTAATATAGTAGTAGCAGCAACAGTAGTAGTAGCAAAAGCAGTACTGTAGCGACAGCAGTAGTAGTAAAATTAGTAATAGTAGCAGTAGAAGTGTTAAAAGGAGTAGCAGTAACAGCAATAGTGGTAGTAGCAGCAGTAGAGTAGCAGTACAAGTAGTTCTTCTTCTTTTTTTTCGTTCGCATGAAATAAATTATCTACATCTGCAATGCTGTCTCTAGTATGAATTTCACTGTCTTTTGTAATTCCCTAAGCGGCCCGTAAAGTTTCACTCCCACAAGTGTCTCTTTTGGTCAGAAGTTTTGTCTGGAAGCGGTGAATCTGGAACAGTCTTGGAGGATGTGATCTGTTGTCTCAGGTGCCAGTCCACAGGTACACATGGCTGATTGGCCAATCTTAAATTGTTTGTACATGTGGCAGCGAAGTTAATTGTGCCCTGTTCTAAGGCGACGGATAATGACTTGCTCTGGTCTGTCCATAATATGGTAATCGTCTTGTGCCAGTTTCGGTGGCATTCTGATTGATTTGATCATTCTCTTCTTCTGTTGATAAGAGACTGGTATGTCGAGTTGTTCTTCAGTTGTACCTTTCTTAGCTAGTTTATCAGCTCTTTCGTTTCCGGGAACTCTACAGTGGGAAGGTATCCACTGCATTACTAATTTAAGTACAAGTAGTAGTAGCAGTTAGGTTAGGTTAGTTGCGTATCCTTTTCAGGACGTTGCAGAACCAACCTCAACAGCCCCTGACTGTTGTGTGATTTTTCTAGGCAAATTTACGTTCAGTAGTTTGCCATTGCTTACTGGACGGTCGGCTTTCTTGATGCCACTGTCGAAACTAACGCGAAGCACATGGCCCGCATCTGGGATCGAACCTGGCATTACGAAGCGTTCGCATCGACTTAGCCACAGAGCCGACAGTAGTAGCAGTAGAAGTATTAAAAGTAGTAGTAATAGCAATAGTAGCAGCACCAGTGCCGTCTTAACGCATGGGCGCGTTGGGCACTGGGATCTGGATTCACGACCATAGGGACCCCAGTTTAACCTGTGTATGACAAGTGGCATGCAATAAAAAAAAATAGGTCATTCCTGTGTGGTTGGGGCCGTAGCACACTGGTTTGCCCAGGGACGCATAATACTGTTAAGATGGCTCTGAGTTGTAATGCAAGTTTCATTTTCACGCAGACAGCTCACCTGACAGTTTCTCTGTTCCCATGCCAGTGAAATCGCATGCAGCATCTGGAAGTGATCCATCTGCTTCTTTCTATCCCCCAGTAGAGCATAGGCCCTTAACCAGCTCACGCCAAGTCGTTCTATCCTTCGCTATTGCCTGAAGCTAACCCCTTGTCCTCCCCATCTTTTAAACGTTACTCTCTACCTCAATTCCCCAAGTGTGTGTCTGTGTTTTGATTTGTGTGTATGTGGGTGGTCGGCTCTGTGGCTAAGTCGATGCGAACGCTTCGTAATGCCGGGGTACCGGGTTCGATCTCAGCTGCGGACCATGCGCCTTGAGTTGGTTTCGACAATGGTATCAGAGGGCTGACCGTCCAGAGAGCAATGACAAACTAATGGACGTAAATTGCCGAGAGAAACCACACAACAGCCAGGGGCTCTTAGGGTTGGTTCTGCAACGTCCTGTAAAGGATGCGCAACTAACCTTCGTATGTGTGTGTGTGTCTTAATTTTTATGTTATATTTTTCATCTGTGGAATTGTTTCTATAAATCTTGGTCTACTGGAACTTGTTTTATTCTCTCCCAAATCTCATCGTTAGTGATTCTGTCATACCATTTATTTCTACACTACGGTAAGTAAGACGTATAGATCTATATACACAGGCAGAGACTGGAGTAACATACACATAAAGACACGACAGTAAGACATATATCTCTAAATACACATGAAGAGACTAGTGTAACATGTATCTCTACATACAGAAGCAGATACCACAGTAACACATATCTCCAGATACAGAAGCAGATACTACGGTAACATATAACTCTGCATACAGAAGCAGATACTACGGTAACATATATCTCTACATACAGAAGCAGATACTACGGTAACATATATCTCTACATACAGAAGCAGATACTACGGTAACATATATCTCTACATACAGAAGCAGATACTACGGTAACATATAACTCTACATACAGAAGCAGATACTACGGTAACATATAACTCTACATACAGAAGCAGATACTACGGTAACATATATCTCTACATACAGAAGCAGATACTACGGTAACATATAACTCTACATACAGAAGCAGATACTACGGTAACATATAACTCTACATACAGAAGCAGATACTACGGTAACATATAACTCTACATACAGAAGCAGATACTACGGTAACATATAACTCTACATACAGAAGCAGATACTACGGTAACATATAACTCTACATACAGAAGCAGATACTACGGTAACATATATCTCTACATACAGAAGCAGATACTACGGTAACATATAACTCTACATACAGAAGCAGATACTACGGTAACATATAACTCTACATACAGAAGCAGATACTACGGTAACATATAACTCTACATACAGAAGCAGATACTACGGTAACATATAACTCTACATACAGAAGCAGATACTACGGTAACATATAACTCTACATACAGAAGCAGATACTACGGTAACATATATCTCTACATACAGAAGCAGATACTACGGTAACATATATCTCTACATACAGAAGCAGATACTACGGTAACATATATCTCTACATACAGAAGCAGATACTACGGTAACATATAACTACATACAGAAGCAGATACTACAGTAACATATAACTACATACAGAAGAAGATACTACAGTAACATATAACTCTGCATACAGAAGCAGATACTACGGTAACATATAACTCTACATACAGAAGCAGATACTACGGTAACATATATCTCTACATACAGAAGCAGATACTACGGTAACATATAACTCTACATACAGAAGCAGATACTACGGTAACATATAACTCTACATACAGAAGCAGATACTACGGTAACATATAACTCTACATACAGAAGCAGATACTACGGTAACATATAACTCTACATACAGAAGCAGATACTACGGTAACATATAACTCTACATACAGAAGCAGATACTACGGTAACATATATCTCTACATACAGAAGCAGATACTACGGTAACATATAACTACATACAGAAGCAGATACTACAGTAACATATAACTCTACATACAGAAGCAGATACTACGGTAACATATAACTCTACATACAGAAGCAGATACTACGGTAACATATAACTCTACATACAGAAGCAGATACTACGGTAACATATAACTCTACATACAGAAGCAGATACTACGGTAACATATAACTCTACATACAGAAGCAGATACTACGGTAACATATAACTCTACATACAGAAGCAGATACTACGGTAACATATAACTCTACATACAGAAGCAGATACTACGGTAACATATAACTCTACATACAGAAGCAGATACTACGGTAACATATAACTCTACATACAGAAGCAGATACTACGGTAACATATAACTCTACATACAGAAGCAGATACTACGGTAACATATAACTCTACATACAGAAGCAGATACTACGGTAACATATAACTCTACATACAGAAGCAGATACTACGGTAACATATAACTCTACATACAGAAGCAGATACTACGGTAACATATAACTCTACATACAGAAGCAGATACTACGGTAACATATAACTCTACATACAGAAGCAGATACTACGGTAACATATAACTCTACATACAGAAGCAGATACTACGGTAACATATAACTCTACATACAGAAGCAGATACTACGGTAACATATAACTCTACATACAGAAGCAGATACTACGGTAACATAACTCTACATACAGAAGCAGATACTACGGTAACATATAACTCTACATACAGAAGCAGATACTACGGTAACATATATCTCTACATACAGAAGCAGATACTACGGTAACATATATCTCTACATACAGAAGCAGATACTACGGTAACATATAACTCTACATACAGAAGCAGATACTACGATAACATATAACTCTACATACAGAAGCAGATACTACGGTAACATATAACTCTACATACAGAAGCAGATACTACGGTAACATATATCTCTACATACAGAAGCAGATACTACGGTAACATATAACTCTACATACAGAAGCAGATACTACGGTAACATATAACTCTACATACAGAAGCAGATACTACGGTAACATATAACTCTACATACAGAAGCATATACTACGGTAACATATAACTCTACATACAGAAGCAGATACTACGGTAACATATAACTCTACATACAGAAGCAGATACTACGGTAACATATAACTCTACATACAGAAGCAGATACTACGGTAACATATAACTCTACATACAGAAGCAGATACTACGGTAACATATATCTCTACATACAGAAGCAGATACTACGGTAACATATAACTCTACATACAGAAGCAGATACTACAGTAACACATATCTCCAGATACAGAAGCAGATACTACGGTAACATATAACTCTGCATACAGAAGCAGATACTACGGTAACATATATCTCTACATACAGAAGCAGATACTACGGTAACATATATCTCTACATACAGCAGCAGATACTACGGTAACATATAACTACATACAGAAGCAGATACTACAGTAACATATAACTACATACAGAAGAAGATACTACAGTAACATATAACTCTGCATACAGAAGCAGA